TGCAGCTGGGTTTGCTCACGGCCCATCTCCAAGGACAGAGATGCCCACCTAGCATGTATGAATGCCAGGCCAGCGGGACTGGAGGGTAGGGGTCTGCTGTAGTCCCGGATTCTCTGTGAGTGGATGTGACCCCAGGTAGGCTGGCACGGGGCAGGAGATGTGTGTGTGTGTGTGTGTGTGTGCACGCACCTGTGTGTACATGCTTGTGTGTTCTCCATGACCATGACACTCCCGTGTTTTGTCCTTGGGACTTGACCTCAGGGCCCGTCCCCGGATGGGGCGTCTGGAGTCTTCTCCCCTCTCCGGGGCCTCAGTCCCCACGCTGACGTTGGTAGCTGGGGCCTCTGCCCTCTGAGCTGTGGGGTTTGGGGGCTGAGCCCCGGCTCTGGCTTCCGGTCTCTGGCTGTGTGTGTATTCCTCTGCCCAGCACAGCTCATCTGAGACCCCGGCCCCCTAAAGCACCCCTCGGAACCCCCATCAAAAGGCTAGAGCCACCCCAGGGGACGGGGGAGGCGGGAACAGGCCGGGGACCGAGGGAGGGGCAGCAAAAGGGAAGGTTTACCTGAGAGAGACAGGAAGTCAGGCCTCCTGCCTCTGCCATCCCAAGAGGTCTTCCTCCTCCCTCCTCCCTCCATCCTTCCCTCCCTCCCTCTTTCCTTCTGCCCCTTTCCTCCTCCCTCCCTGTTTCCCCTCCTTTCCTTCCCTTTCTGTCCTCCCTCCCCTCCCTTTCTCCATCTCTCCCTTTCTTTCCCACCTTCCTGTCACTCCTCCCTTCATCTCTTGCTTTTTCCCTTCATTTCCTTCCTCTTTTCCTCCCTCCCTACTTCTCTCCCTCCTCCCCTTCTTCTCTCCTTCCTCCCCCCAATCCCCCTTCCTCCCTCTGTCCTTCTCTCCCATTCCCTTCTCTCTCTTTCTTCTCTCTCCTTCCCTTTCTCCCTTTCCTTCTTGCCCGTTCCCCTCTCCTCCCCACTCCCCTACATCCAGCCCTTTAGCTTCTCTCAAAAAAAAAATAATTATGCAGGGCACCGGTGGCTCCCGCCTGTCATCCCAGCTACTCAGAGGCTGAGATCTGAGGATGGCGGTTCAAAGCCAGCTCAGGCAAGAAAGTCTGTGAGACTCTGATCTCCAATAAACCACCAGAAAACTGGAAGTGGCGCTGTGGCTCAAATAGTAGAGCGCTAGCCTTGAGCAGAAGAGCTGAGGGACAGCGCCCAGGCCCAGAGTTCAAGACCCATGACTGACAACAAAAAATTAAAGCTGAGCACTGGTGGCTCATGCCTGTAATCCAAGCTACTCAGGAGGCTGAGATCTGAACACTAGAGTTCCAAGAGCAATTGGGCAGGAAAGTCCATAAGACTCATATCCAATGAACCACCAAAAAAAAGCCAGAAATGGAGCTATGGCTCAAGTGGTAGAGCACCAGCCTTGAGCACAAAAGCTTAGAGATAATGCCCAGGTCTTGAGTTCAAATCCTGGGACTGGCACACACAGCATGCAAAGCAAAACAAAAACCCAGTGAACACCAAAAAACAGCATGAATTTAAAGTCGAGCAAGGGATTTGAATAGACATGTCTCCAAAAGAGATAAACCCTTAGTGGATAAAACCCGTGAAAAGAAGTTCAGCATCATTGGTAATCAGAAAACATGAACAGCAAATCTACCCGGCTGCTTCCTCTCAGGGCAAGCACCTTTCCAGTGGCCAAGGGTCTCAACCTTTACCTTGCTGTGTAAATGCTCAAGACAAAGTGAGCCTAGATCTGTGCCAGGGAGCCTCCGACATCGACATGTTCTCAGGGGCATCCGAGGTGGAGCATCACTGGATGGCCTGGCTCCTCAGGAGTCTGAGATTTGAGGATTGTGGTTCGAAGCCAGCCTGGGCAGGAAAATCCCTGAGACTCTTACCTCCAATGAACCACCAGAAAAGCCAGAAGTGGAGGCATGGCTCAAGTGGTCAAGCACCAGCCTTGAGCACAAAAGCTCAGGGACAGCGTCCAGGCTCTGAGTCCAAGCTCCAAGACGGGCACAAAGAAATAATAATAAAAGTAGGTACGGATGTATGCATTGGGGGTATTGTTTTAATAAAATCCTCAGGATCATTTATGTTCCTTAGATCTGCTGAAAAATCTCCCCGTATCCTCTTTCTAATTAATTCGTGTTTGGTGGTACTCCTGCTTGGAACTCCAGGTGGGAACTCATACCACATGAGCCACCTCTATGTATTTCCTGCTTTGTTTTCCAGAGAAAGTTAAGAGAATTTCGCTTGAGTGGCCCCACTCCCAAGTTCCTGGGATTATAGGTGTGTGCTACCACACTTGGCCCTGCTGGAATTCTCCCTAACCCCTGGCCTCTTACCCAGCTGAGAAGGTCTCAGAATGGAGCCAGGGAACCAGTGATTAGAAAGATCCATGGCTAGGTGTTAACCTCATGCCTGGTAGTTGGAGAAATGGGCAAAAGCAAGAGACCAGTGGTCTGGTTACCCCTGGAAAAAGAGAATAAGTTAGAGAAGGTACATATATACACACACATACATAAATATATACACATACATACATGTATGTGTGTATTGGGTGTGTGTATGTGTGTGCACACACGGTGTCATCTCAGGAGGCTGAGATCTGAGGGTTGAGGTTCGCAGCCAGTCCAGTCCGGAAGGGAGATTCTTACCTTCAGTTTAGTGAATTGATAAGAGTGCCCAGCCTTGTACCAAGAAGCTACCACAGAATGTGAGGCCCTGGGCATGCATGTGTGCGCACACACACACACACACACACCCAGATCCACTTGAGTGTGGCGGAGAGGACAGGGAACTCCACAAAACCTGCTGAGCAGGCCCAGTAGTGAACCAAAGCAATGAGGAGTCTGTGGGAGGAGCAGGAGAGATTATGTTTTTCTCACCAGCTCAGGATCCTGCTCGCTCACGTGAATGAAGGAGAAAACGACGTGAACTTTCAGGGTCCTGCACTAGCATGTTGATTCTGAACATTAGGGGTAAACGATCCTTCTAAAGAGATGTGGGTTTTCAGAGTGTACAGCCACCAAGGGTTTTAGCAAGCTGTCTTCTTTTCTCTTTTTACCCTGTTTTATTTATTTATGTATTTTTTTTTCTTTTCTGGTTAAAAGAGAGAAATGTGGTCAGGCACCAATGGCTCCCGCCTGTCATCCTAGCTACTCAGGAGGCTGAGATCTGAGGATCATGGTTTGAAGCCAGCCCAGGCAGGAAAGTCTGTGGGACTCTTTATGTACAATTAACCAGCAAAAAACTCTTAAGTGGAGCTGTAGCTCAAGTGCTAGACAGCTAGCCTGGATCAAAAATGCTCAGGCATAGAGTTGAAGCCCCAGGTCGAAGCGTGTGTGTGTGGGGGGTAGATATGGAGGGGAGGGAATGAATGAATTCAGAAGGGCTTTATAAAGTTGAATTTTCTTTTTGCCCTGATTTCTTTTGCCCCTCTAAATGGATTAAAAGGGAGAGCTGAGGGGCAGCGATGGCTGGGTGCCGGTGCTTTGCGCCTGGTGTCTCGGGAGGCTGAGATCTGAGGGTTGAAGTTCGAGCCAGCCCAGTCAGGAAAGGCCATGAGATTCATACCTGGAATTTGGTCAATTGTTAAGAGCACCAGCCTTGAACCGAGAAACCACACTGGAGTGTGGAGGGCCTGATGTCAAGCCCCAGAACTGGCACCAAAAGAAAGAGAGAGAGAGAGAAAAGAAGAGAGGGAGGGAGGGAGGGAAGGAAGGAAGGAGGGAAGGAGGGAAGGAAGGAAGGAGGGAAGGAAGGAAGGAACGAGGGAGGGAAGGAAGGAAGGAGGAAAGGAAGGAAGGAGGGAAGGAGGAAAGGAGGGAAGGAGGGAAGAAAGGAAGGAAGGAGGGAAGAAAGGAAGGAAGGAGGGAAGGAAGGAAGGAAGGAAGGAGGGAGGAAAGGAAAGAAGGAAGGAAGGAGGAAAGGAAGGAAGGAGGAAAAGGAAGGAAGGAGGGAAGGAAGGAAGGAGGAAAAGGAAGGAAGGAAGGAGGAAAAGGAAGGAAGGAAGGAAGGAAGGAAGGAAGGAAGGAAGGAAGGGAAGGAAGGAAGGGAAGGGGGGCAGGCAGGCTTTCTGCATTGCTGGCACCCATTGGAACTCAGCTCAACAAGGGAACCCGAGCTGGAGGGGTGGATGGCGCTTTGGCGATCACAGTAATCAGCAATAGCCCAGGCCTGCAGCCTCTTTCTCCCTAGAATCTTCTCTCCCCATTCATCCATCGTCAGGCGTCGGTTTCTCTTTCCTAGACGAACCTCCCAAACAGTGGTGTTCTCTGAGGGCCCAGCCTCCTCGCCCCTTCCTCAGAGCCCAGAGCTCTGAATCTCGTTCAGCCCCCTGCCCCTGCTGTGTTAGGCGAATGGATCTCCCTACAGTGGATGGAAGAAGAGATGTGACAGATCAGACACTCCTTCCTCTCCCCACCCTTCCCTCCTGTCCAGGTGTGCTGGGAGCCTGCTGTGAGGGGGTGGGACCTAGAAAGGGGCGGAGCCAGGGAATGGCCAGGTGTGCTTGGAAGAGGGGGGCAGGGGGCGGAGCCACTAGGCCCAGAGGAGATGGGGACCACGTGGAAACAGGCTCTGGTGTTCAAACACCTCGGAACTGGAGCCACTCAGGTCGGGTTTTCAAAATGGCGACTGGGAAGATCTGTGGGTCGTGGGGCTTGAACTCAGGGCCTGGGCGCTGTCCCCCAGCTCTTCAGCTCAAGGCTAGCGCTCTACCCCTTGAGCCACAGCACCACTTCTGGTTTTCTGGTGGTTCCTGGGAGATCAGAGTCTCACGGACTTCCCTGCCCGGGCTGGCTTTGAACCGCGATCCTCGGATCTCAGCCTCCTGAGTAGCTGGGGGTGACAGGCTGGAGCCACTGGTGCCTGGCTTAGTCCGGGTTGGTGCTGGGGGTATTCGGGTGGGAAGCAAGGAGGAAAGCCACGCTGGGTTTCTGGCGCAGGGTGGAGATGAGCACTGTGGAGGGAATTCGGGGAGTTGGTGGGGGTGAGATCCCCACTCTGGCTTGGGGTGTGTTGGCCTGGGGAGGCCCCGAGACACCCCCGGGGTGAGGTCAGGAGGCAGGCTCAAGCCAGCAGTGCCAGGTGCGTACAGGAGAGTTCACGCTGAAGGGGACATTTGGGTGGCTACTTGGGGGGAACCTCCTGTCGGTCTCGGGGCGTGAGACCCCGCACAAGCTCTTTCCTCGCTCTCCATGTGCTCCTGGTCTTTGGTTCTAACTCTGCTTCCATGCGGCGTGTGCCCTTCCCCAAGCCTGCAGCCGTGTCTGTAGAACGCAGAACAACCTTCCCTCCCTCCCTCCTTAACTCCCTCCTTCCCTCCCTCCCTCCTTAACTCCCTCCCTCCTTAGCTCGCTTCCTCCCTCCCTCCTTTCCTTCCTTCCTCCCTCCCTTCCTTCCTTCCTTCCTTCCTTCCTTCCTTCCTTCTTCCTTCCTTCCTTCCTCCCTCCCTTCCTTCCTATCTTCTTCCCTTCTTCCTTCCCTATCTTCCTCCCTTCCTCCCTCCCTCCCTCCTTTCCTTCCTTCCTCCCTTCCTTCCTTCCTTCCTTCCTTCCTTCCTTCCTTCCTTCCTTCCTTCCTTCCTTCCTTCCTCTCTCTTTTCTTTCTATTTTGTGCCACTCCTGAGACTTGAACCCACGACCTGGTCACTATCCCCTGAGCTTTTTCACTCAAGACTAGCAATTTTACTCCTTGAACCACAGCTCCACTTCCGGCTTTTGGGTGGTTCCTTGGAGATCAGAACTTTCCTGCCCAGGCTGACTTGGAACCTTGACCTTCAGATCTCAGCCTTCTGAGTCGCTGGGATGACAGGTGTGAGCCACTGTGCCTGGCGCCAAAATCCAATACCTTTATTCTAGTTGCCTGACTCATTTTGGGGGAAATACTGTCTCCGTAGGTGTGTGTGTGTGTGTGTGTGTTGGGGAGGTCCAACTTCATTTCACTGTGCCGTAGCCGATATGAACTTGGAGCTCAGGCTGCAAGAGAACAGGCTATTTTCTCGGGTGGTCTTCTCTCTCCCTTGCCTCAGTTTCTCTGTATCTCAAGTTTCCCACCGACTGAAGTTGTTCTCTCTCTCTCTCCCTCTTGCTCAGATATCCCTCTGCTCCCTGGTTCTCCACGCCGGCTCAGCCCTCGGACTGTGGCCAGAGGAGGCCAGGGGTCCAGACAAGGACAGCACTACCTGAAGGTGCCAGGGTCCCAGGCCTCCGGGCCCCAGGGCAGCCCCAGCCAAGACCCAGGCCGGCCGTCCCCGGGAGACAGCTGCCACAGCAGCTCTGTAAGTACAGGGACAGGTGGGGGGCCCTCCAGATGGCCCCCCCAAATGGGGGCCCCCCCCGAATCCCCCCTCAGCGTATCCACGTATGAGCAGCTCTGGGTGTTGTCTGTTTGTGCGTGACGATCCCCTCTTTCCTCGCCTCTCTTCTGGAGTCGCACGCGGTTCCTCCCGGTCTGAGGAGGCCCAGAAAGGCGACGGGTGGGAGAGGCCAGGCCATCCTGTCTCTAAGCCCGGGAAGCGGGTCGGCTCTGCCGCCGCGGCTCCCAGCACGCTCCCCTGTGCCCGGTGCTCCATCTGGTTGCCCAGGTGACTTCTCAGGTGGCGGCAGAGGCAGTTGGGTCTCAAACCAGTAATCAACAGGGGAACACCCCGAGGGAGGGAGGCAGGTCCCTGCCCTGCGCCACCTCGCTCTCAGCCTCCCTCCCTCCCTCCCTCCCTCCCTCCTCCGCTGCTTTTCCAGCTCCCACTCTGGTGTGGAAGGAGCAGGAGGCTGTTTCCCCAGTGCCATCGGGCCGAGCCTGGCCCAGGGCCTGAGAGGGCGGAGGATGTGGGGCTGAGAGGTGGGGACTTGGAGCTCCAGGGTGGGTTGGAGCCTGGACATTGGCCATTGTTCCAATGGACCCAGAAAACCTGCCAGTGAGTATTCTGTGTGTGTGTGCAGATAAGTAGAGTTGGCTGATGTGGCTATCTGGATGAAGGTGAGCGTGTGTGTGTGTGTGTGTGCAGATAAGTAGAGTTGTGGGCTGATGTGGCCATCAGGATGGAGGTGAGCGTGTGTGTGTGTGTGTGTGCATGTGTGTGTGCGTGTGCATGTGTGTGCATGTATCTCAAGTCCCTGCAATTGTGTGTGTCTGCATGCCTTCCTCTGTGTAGGCAGCACCAGCTCAGGCGGATGTGAGTTGGGGAGACTGTTTATTCCAGGGATGGTGGTGGTGTCGGTGTGTGTGTGTGTGTGTGTGTGTCCGTGTGAGGAGTGTGTGTGTGTGTCCGTGTGAGGAGTGTGTGGGGTTCTGGGGGGGACAGGCTGTGGGTGCTGCTGTAGATGCTGTGTATGTGGGAGAGAGAAAGTGTGTGTGTGTGTGTGTGTGTGTGTGTGTGTGTCAGGGTCAGATGGACATGTGGGCTGTGTGGGGTGTGTGTGACAGGTGAATTTAGCTGTGACTGGTGAATTTAGGTGAATTTAGGTGTGACAGGTGAATTTAGCTGTGACTGGTGAATTTAGGTGAATTTAGCTGTGACAGGTGAATTTAGGTGAATTTAGGTGTGACAGGTGAATTTAGGTGAATTTAGGTGTGACAGGTGAATTTAGGTGAATTTAGGTGTGACAGGTGAATTTAGGTGAATTTAGATAAATTTAGGTGAATTTAGGTGAGTTTAGGTGAATTTAGGTGTGGCAGGTGGGTTTCGGCTGGTCATCTGACCCGAGGGAAGCCCTGCTCTGTCCCACCGGTCCTCACGGGCGCGTCCCCTCTGTCCGGCCAGGTGATCAATAACTACCTGGATGCCAGTGATCCGGTGTCGTCCGAGGCCCGCCGGAGCCGCATGCACTTCCACGACAACCAGAGGAAGGTGGACTACGTGCTGGCCTACCACTACCGCCGGCGCGGGGCCCACGCGGGCCCCGGCTCACCCGGCCGCGCGCTGGCCGTCATCTCCAACGGGGAGACGGGCAAGGAGCGCCAGGCCGGCGGCCCCGGGGGCGACATCGAGTTGGGGCCCCTGGACGCCCTGGAGGAGGAGAGGAGGGAGCAGCGGGAGGAGTTTGAGCACAACCTGGTGGCGGCGGGACTGGAGCTGGAGAAGGACGTGGAGGTGAGGCTGGCTGGAGGCCGGAGACTGGAGGCCGCCGAGTGGAGGCTGGCGGGGGGGGGGGTTCCTGGGTGAAGAGCTGGTTTGTTCGTTGGACTTTGGATCTAAGTTTCTCTGTGGGGATGTAAGGCTCTCCATCACTGGCGAATGCACAGGTTCGAGACCCTCTGAAGGGGGCGATTTGGGACATTCTGGGGAAGCAAATGGAGCGTCTATTCAGACAGACTGTATCAACTTGTCAGCAAGAGGTTGCCTGGTCTGTGATCAGCAGCAGTAGGGAATCACTCACTAACATATTTGCCCATCCATTCATCCACCCACCCATCATCCATCCATCCACCATCCATCCACTCATCCATCACTCACCAATCATCCTTCATCCATCCATTCCTCCATCTATCCATTATTCATCCATCTACCCACCTATCTATCCATCATCTATCTTTCCTCCCCTCCCTCCATCCAGCCATTCATCCACACCCCCATCCATCATCCTTCCTTCCACCCATCTATCCATTCATCGTCAATCCACCATCCATTCACCATCCATCCATCCATCCACCCTTCTATCCATCCATCATCCCTCATCCATCCTACACCCATTCATCCGCTCTCCCATCCATCCATCGCTCATCCATCCATTATTCATCCATCCACCATCCACCCACCCATCCACCCATCTATCCATCTACCACCCATCATCCATTCACCCACCTACCCATCCATCTTCCTTCCTTTCACCCATCCATCCATCCCTCATCCATCCATCCCTCATCCATTTACCCACTTACCCACCAATCCACCCACTCATCCACCCACCCACCATCTATCCATCATCCACCCATCCACCCATCCATCATCTACCCATTGACCTGCCTACCTGTCTATCCACCCATCCATTTATCATCCACCCACCCATCTACCTATCCATCCATCCACCCATCCACCCATCCATCCACCCATCTACCTATCCATCCATCCACCCATCCACCCATCTATCTGCCCATCCACCCATCCATCCATCCGCCCATCCACCCATCCATCCACCCACATCTTCCCCTGCTTCTTGACTTATCTTTGCCATTTCCTCTGAACACTTCTCACTCTGTATTTCTGGCCACCGGCCTCATCTTGGTGGCGTGGCACTCCTACGTGAAGTAATTTGATGGGTTTATGGGTGTTTTCTTTTGCTGTCATGGGATTTGAACTCAGGGCCCTGTGTTTGCTGGGCAGGCACACAGCCAGTCCTCTAGTGCTTTTTGCTTTCGTTATTATTTAAATAAGATCTTGCCTTGTTTTGCCTGGGGCTCGCCTGGCTCACGATTCTCCTCTTCACTCTTCCCTTAGCTGGGTTGACTCCCAGAGGCCACAGCACCCGGCTGTTTTGTTGAGATGGGGTCTCGTGAGCTTTTTGGTGGTTGGGTGTTTTTGCCTTGTCTAGCCTCAACCTGAGATCCTCCTGGTCTCTCTGCCTGCAGAGTAGCTGGGATTGTAGGCATGGATTTGTGAGTTGTTGTGGTTTTAAATCGACAGTTCACTAGCTCTGTGAAAGGAGGGCTCTGTGTATATAGTTCACTGCTGGGACCTGTCTCATTGCCTCAAATAAATGAATGGCCTCTCAGACGCTGTCATCCCAGCTATTCAGGCTGAAATCTGAGGTTCATGGTTCGAGGCCAGCCTGGGGAAGTAAGAGTCTGTGAGACTCTTAACCTCCAATCAGTCACAGAAAAAGCCAGAAGTGGTGCTGTGGCTCAAGTGGTAGAGCGCCAACCTTGAGCAAAAGAAGCTCAGGGACAGCGCCCAGGCCCTGAGTTCAAGCCCCAGGACTGGCTTAAAGCAAAAGTGCCAGGCTAAAGAAGATCAGGTGCCATTCTGACTTGAAATCTGTTTTGTAAGATTTAAATAAATGTTGTCTTTTTCTTTTTCTTTTCTTTTTTTTTTTTTTGGTCGGTCCTGGGGCCTGAACTCTGGGCCTGGGCGCTGTCCCTCAGCTCTTTAGCTCAAGGCTGATGCTCTACCACCTGAGCCACAGCGCCACTTCTGGTTTTCTGGTGGTTCATGGGAGATCAGAGTCTCAGGGACTTCCCTGCCCGGGCTGGCTTTGAACCACGATCCTCAGATCTCAGCCTCCTGAGTAGCTGGGATGACAGGCGGGAGCCACTGGGGCCTTGCTGGAGTTTTGATGTTTGAAACCCAAATATCACTTAGTGCTTCTGTCGGGAGTCTGCTGAGCAGTGAGGTGCAAGGTTCTGGTGTGTTCTGAGGTCTGGGCAGTGGGTGTTAGCCATGACCACCATGGTAATGAGATCTGCATCCGGGCCCCTAGGTCTCAGGGACCAGCAGGCTGGGACTGGGCTCGGGGCTCAGGTGGGAATAGTATGCACTGGGTAAAAAGGTGGGCACCCGCAGGCTGATTAGATATGCTCACATCCCAAGCCAGGCTTCCGGGAGCCTTGATCTCGGTTACTCTGTTCTCTTGGATCAAAGTTTCCTTATCTGTCAAGGGAGGCTAGAACATTCTTTGCTTGGTTGTTACAAAGGAGAAATGAGAGTAAGTATATACAAAGTGTCTGGAACAGAAGCTGGGAATAATTGCTGCTGCTACGGTTGTTGTTTAGCCAATAGAGATGCAGAATGTCTGGTTACATATGAGGTTCAGATCAACAGGGCCTACTCTGTGTGTGTGTGTGTGTGTGTGTGTGTGTGTGTGTGTGTGTCCTGGGACTTGAACTCAGATCCTGGGTGCTGTCCCTGAGCTCCTTTCTGTTCAAGGCTAGTGCTTTACCACTTGAACCACAGCTCCACTTCTGGCGTTTTTGTTTTTTTTTTTTTGCTGGAGATCAGAGTCTCATGGGCTTTCCTGCCCGGGCTGGCTTTGAACCTCGACTCCTCAGATCTCAGCCTCCTGAGTAAAAGCTAGGATGACAGGCGGGAGCCACAGGTGCGGGGTTAAACTCTGAACCCTGAGTTTGCTCCAGTAATATACATGGCCTCACCCCTCATTATTCCCATTCACGTCTCTGCCATCTTTTTTTTTGCCCCCAGATACCATGCTTGTTTGTTTTAATATATCAGTGGCCATTAGATGTCCCCGGCTTTGATTTGGAAACAGGAGGGCTCAGAGCTCGCCCTTGGGACTGACTGGTGTTAGATGAGATATGACCTGAATCTTCCCATCCTCAGCTCTCCTCAACTCGGAGGGGGGACAGGCGCGTCACCGGTGCCCCCTCTCCCCACCATTCCACCTCTGTGCCCGCTCTGCCATTCCAGAGTTTCCCTCTCTCTCTGCGTTCTTCTCAGCCTCCTGAGTAGCCAGGATTATAGGCGTGATCACCGGCGCCCGGCTGTGTAATGACGATGAGTCACGTACAGAGCCCAGTTCATGGCCATTCTCCACCCCTGGCACCTTGTGGCTGGTCCACCGGAGAACCTTCTCTTCGTTCCTCTCCGCCTCCCCCCCCTTCCTTCTCTGCTGCCTACTCCCTCCCCAGGCCTCCTTTCTAACCGCCTCCTAAAAACACGGAGAGCGCCACTTTGCTGCACGCAATTTGCCGTTTCCTTTAAAAAAACACACACACACAACAAAAAGATCTCATTGTTGAGAACAGTCATGGATTTTTGCAGCCAAATGGGAGCTGGTACAGAGCGTTCCCGAGTGCCCACCCCGTGCCCGGCCCTCTCTATAATCAACCGCGTGATTAACGCAGCACCTGCCTGGCGGATTGCGACACCTGAATCGGTGCTCGATTCACCTTTCCTTACGCCCCCTCTCCCCTTTTTTTTTTTGATTTTCACTAAAAACAAGACTGGCCTTTCTTCTCCAGTGCCAGGCTGGGGCGCCTGTGGCGGCCGATCCTCTGATCCTCCCCCCTTCCTCAGCCTCCTGAGGGCAGCTGGTGGGTTTTAGGATTTTTCTGGCAGGTATGCATTCGTGAGTTCCATGCAGAATGAGCTATTTATGTTGCCAGGATGTGCACGCAGTCTGGGCCGGCCCAGAGCTCTCTGGAGACCATTCTGCAGCTCCTTGGTCCCTGTCATTTCCAGATCGTTGGCGTGCTGCACGCCCACCGGCCTTGCTCAGTATTTCCGACGGGCGTGCAAGCGTGCCCAGCTGCCTCAGTTTACCTGGCCCTCCGCTCACAGGGAAGGACACTGAGAGATCTGCACTGTGTGCCGTCCAAACAAGGTGGCGAATGGACTGTCATGTCTTCCAGGGCTTGGCGCTCTACCCCTTGAGCCACAGCGCCACTTCTGGTTTTCTGGGGGTTCCTGGGAGATCAGAGTCTCACGGACTTTCCTGCCCAGGCTGGCCTTGAACTGTGGTCCTCAGATCTCAGCCTCCTGAGTCGCTGGGATGACAGGCGGGAGCCACCGGCGCCTGGCTCATTCACCATCTGGGGCGGGAGACCAAGATCCTGAGCAGCTCAGGAGCTCAGCAGGTGCTCAGGTTGGGCGTTGGAGAAGCAGCCAGGCATGGGTGCCGGGCAGGAGGGTAGGGCAGGGCCTGGTCACGTGATGTGGGGGGGAGGGCAGGTGGGAGGGCTGGAGAGCAGGTGTGGCACGTTGCACACCTTCCCTCCTCCCCCTGGGGATCTGATTTCACCTGAACTTCAAGACAAATGGGGTAGAAATGGGTTTTTACCAAAGACCCATAATAATAATAACAACAGCAGCAGCAGCAGCAACAATAATAATAATAATAGTAGAGTTAGCCTCACAGATCGAGAGAGAGTGCTGTGCATTCAAGGGTCTCTGAGCAAATGGCTTAGAAGTCATCGTCTGCCCTGTGATTTTGTTGGTGTGCTTTGGGCAGGGTACAGAAGCGCTGTGAGTTTCTCTGTTCCGTCCTTCCTTTTTTATCTCTGTGTGTGTGTGTGTGTGTGTGTTTCCCAGTCCAGGCTTGAACTCAAGGCCTGGGCGCTGTCCCTGAGCTTCTTTGTGCTCAAGGTGAGCACTCTACCACGTGAGCCACAGATCCACTTCTGGTTTTCTGGTGGTTCATT